CTATAGTTCGTACTACAACCAAGACGTTTGTTTAACTAGTCATTACCACTGTAGTTCGTACTACAACCAAGACGTTTGTTTAACTTCTCATTACCACTGTAGTTCGTACTACAACCAAGACGTTTGTTTAACTACTCATTACCACTGTAGTTCGTACTACAACCAAGACATTTGTTTAACTACTCATTACCACTATAGTTCGTACTACAACCAAGACGTTTGTTTAACTACTCATTACCACTGTAGTTCGTACTACAACTAAGACGTTTGTTTAACAACTCATTACCACTGTAGTTCGTACTACAACCAAGACGTTTGTTTAACTACTCATTACCACTTTAGAATACTACCGCTAGGCCATACCACTAGGTCGTAGGTGAAAAGAGAAATACACGGCCAGACCAGGGTTCGAACCCGGGACACTCCGAACTCTAGACGGACGCTCTGACAGATTCAGCTACCTGGTCGCCAGTGATCGACCCGGTCCAATTCCGCTACTTTTCTCCATCCTTTTAACAAAGTGTTCAATCCTGAAGACACACAAGACCCTTTATCACTTTCTTAAGTTAAACAGTGGACGAATATCGGGCTTTATGAAGTTTGTTATCAATAGCAATGTGTGTTATAGGACTATAACAACATTTGCTAAAATTAAGTATTTAAACTGCCTATTAGATGTATCAACATGATTTGTAGAAACTGTGTTGGATCCATTGTCGTAATATAGATGTTGAAAGTACGTACAAAAGCGTTCTGAAATATAAATCAAACACGAAGCTTCATAAAACAGATATTCAGAATGTTGATTCTAAAATGTCGTCAAGAAACCAAGTTGTTTGTCACAGCAAGCGTTCCAGTGACAGTTGACCCCTTGTTGCAAAATCCAGGTTGAGGTCATGCATGCCAGTGATGGATGTATTCGGTATACTGTCATAATGTACCTTTTATGAAGTTTCATCAAGATATGTCAGGCCCCCAGACTGAGGTTATTTCCGGGAAAGGAATTGCAATGATTTTCCTTTTTACCTTTGCTGTGACATTGACTTCCGGGTACAGACATGAGAATAGAGCTAAAAAATATCAGAGACGGACGTTTGACTTGAATGCGTGCCAGGTACCAAACCCATGTCCATACGACACGGACTAGTAGGACTCCTTGGCCTATATGTGCTATTGTTTATTCCCTTTATAGTATTTTGGAGTAATATTGGCATATTTTCTTACTTAGGCTCCTCTGATAATTTTCCTATAAAAAAAACCTGACAAGTGTTGCGATTGAACTTTTTTCCTCTTCCAGCGTTTCCGGATGAATGGTGTCAGGTCAAGGTGATTTAGTTGAACCCACGTTTCTAAGCTTTTTGGTAGCTTCTTAAACGATGATGAGAATCACTTGATGACTGTATGCTGTATCTTGTATAGCAAAGTCTTGAGTAAACATTAACGTGCTGCTTTCTCGTCAATTATCTTACTTAGGTTTCTGTTTTACATAATGTACCAATCTTTTGCTGTTTTATTTGCTAACCGTCTCCTTTGCCCATTTTATCGTAGCCTTACTATGATTAGCTGTATTTCCCTTCTATATGTTTGTGTGATCTTTTCCTATTGTATGATATGTATGATATATGAAGTACGCGAATCGGTTACATCCATATTGCATGAAGCTGCTAGGGCTTCATGTTTAATATGGATGTAACCGATTTGCATTCATACCGGCATGAACATGAATTGAACATGACTCTGGCGGAACAGTCCTATTTAACTTAAATTGGCTCCAATAATTGACTGTAGTCATTTGAGCGTTTGACGCAGGGGCATTCTCAATTTTATCCGATGCGAAGCGACAAGACTCTAATTGAACAAGGTTAATCTACGACGTCATAAGTAAACCACGTATTACGTCGTCACGAGAGTTTCTGCTTTCATACTCGAATGAAATGCATTTCTGCTGGTAATGTTCATTAGTGGGTTGCAGCCCAAATGTAAATATAGACTTTTGAGTTCTAATTACGGTTTTGTTGACGGTTTGATATTTTTATCCATTCCCCGTATGTACATTTTGCATCTTCCGGCCTCGATGTCACCAATATACCCAGTTTCCTGCATACACAAAACACATGGAAACACGTCCTTAAATGACCTTAGGTGTTAATAGGACGTTCAACAAAACTAAACCAAACTAAACTTTAATGAAGCTTCACGACAGATCATCACAAGACGTTGTGTACACTACTCTCTTGCAAATGAGTTCCAAGGTAACACATCGTTAATTATTTATGTGTTATTTTAATCACTAGCACGCATCCTGTTACAGTATAGCTTGTACCACTTTCACCTAAGATATTGATATTTAAATTAAAAAGTGGCTGGCTTTATGCACGAGTGATGGAGTGATTCAAGTCGAAGATAAGTTATAGGTTAAGTCAGGTAGCATACACTTAATTTTGTGCGTCATAACCAGTGTTCGAATCCCGGTCTGGAAACGCTGTATTTTCACACTCAGAACACCGTTTCTGATTACATTTTTGTTTATTTCATCTTCATCACTTCTCATAAGAAGTCCCACAATGTATGATGTTCTTTTCAGATATGATAACAATTTTTAAATTGCATAGCAAGTTTTTAGCAGTGATACAGGATTCCTCAAGATTGTGTTTCATAGTCGGGTAACATACTGCCTTAAGTCAGCTTTTTATAGTCAGGTAACATACTGCCTTAAGTCAGCTTTTCATTGTCAGGTAACATACTGCCTTAAGTCAGCTTTTCATTGTCAGATAACATACTGCCTTAAGTCAACTTTTCATAGTCAGGTAACATACTGCCTTAAGTCAGCTTTTCATAGTCAGGGAACATACTGCATTAAGTCAGCTTTTCATAGTGAGGTAACATACTGCCTTAGTCAGCTTTTCATAGTCAGGTAACATACTGCCTTAAGTCAGCTTTTCATTGTCAGGTAGCATTTAAGTCAGCCTTTCATTGTCAGGTAGCATTTAAGTCAGCTTTTCATGGTCAGGTAGCATTTAAGTCAGCTTTTCATTGTCAGGTAGCATTTAAGTCAGCTTTTCATAGTCAGGTAACATACTGCCTTAAGGCAGCTTTTCATTGTCAGGTAACATACTGCCTTAAGTCAGCTTTTCATTGCCAGGTAGCATTTAAGTCAGCTTTTCATTGTCCGGTAGCATTCAAGTCAGCTTTTCATGGTCAGGTAGTATTTCAGACAGCTTTTCAATGTCAGGTAGCATACTGCCTTAAATTAGCTTTTCATTGTCGGGTAGCATTTAAGTCAGCTTTTTCCATGTCAGGTCGCATTTAAGTCAGCTTTTCATTGTCAGGTAGTATTTAAGTCAGCTTTTCAATGTCAGGTAGCATACTGCCTTGAATTAGCTTTTCATTGTCGGGTAGCATTTAAGTCAGCTTTTCAATGGCAGGTAGCAATCAGGTGGGATATAACCTTAAGTTAGTGCTTCATAGATAGCATACAGAGTCTTAATTTAGTACTTTATAATCAGGTATAACACAGCCTCAAGTTAGCCTTTTATAAGTCAGGTAGCACATAACCTTAATAAATTAAAATAGTCAGGTAGCATACTACAACCTTAATAAATTAAAATAGTCAGGTAGCATATATAACCTTAATAAATTAAAATAGTCAGGTAGCATTCAACCTTAATAAATTGAAATAGTCAGGTAGCATTCAACCTTAATAAATTAAAATAGTCAGGTAGCATATATAACCTTAACAAGAGGCCCAATGGGCCTGCATCGCTCACCTGGTATAAATCTCACACTTGTAACCTTAAAAGTGATCTAAAATAAAGCTACAGGCAAAATATCAGTATTTATGATTAAAATTCATTCAAAAGACCCTGTTATTTTTTTTTTTAAACATTTCACCCCTGTGATTGAAATTTTATAGCCTTTCATCTCAGGATGCAATTTGTAAAGTATCAACATCCTGGGACCCATGGTTATTCAGAAGAGGTCGTTTAAAGGTTTTAAATAAATTTGACCCCTGTGACCTTGAATATAAGTCAAAGTCATTCACTTTAACAAACATAGTAGCCCTTGATCCCAGCATGCTACTGACTAAATATCAACATCCTGAGCCTTTTGGTTATTCAGAACAAATTGTTTAAATATTTTGGACATATTTGCTCCTTGTGACCTTAAATATGATTTAAGGTCATACATTTAAACAAACTTGATAGCCCTTGATCCTAGTATGCTACGGACTAAATATCATCACCCTGGGCATTTTGGTTATTGAGAAGAAGTTGTTTTAAAGCTTTTAACATATTTGACCCCTGTGACCTTGCATATGGGTGAAGGTCATTCATTTAAACAAACTGTGTAGCCCTTCATCTCAGCATGCTATTGGCCAAATATCATCACCCTGGGCATTTTGGTTATTGAGAAGAAGTTGTTTAAAGGTTTTAACATATTTGACCCCTGTGACCTTGAATATGGGTGAAGGTCATTCATTTGAACAAACTTGGTAGCCCTTCACCCAAGCATACTACTGGCCAAATATCATCTCCTTGGGCAGTTTGGTTATCGAGGAAGAAGATGTTTAAAGTTTTTTAACATATTTGACCCCTGTGACCTTGAAAATGGGTGAAGGTCATTAATTTTAACAAACTTTGTAGCCCTTCATCCCAGTTTGCTTCTGGCCAAATATCGACACCCTAGGCCTTTCGATTATTATTAAGAAGTCGTTTAAAGTAAAATATTGACACCGGACGCCGCGCCACGGCATAAGCTCACTTGGCACTTTGTGCCAGGTGAGCTAATAAATTGAAATAGTCAGGTAGCATACAACCTTAATAAATTAAAATAGTCAGGTAGCATACAACCTTAATAAATTAAAATAGTCAGGTAGCATTCAACCTTTAATAAGCACTTCAACGTTAATGGGGAAAATCACTGACAAGTTATGTGAGTAATGTATTTCTACACTTACTTAAGGTGTGCTGTTTCTACGACACAAAAAGAAGACCAACAAAACCGTGACAGACCATTTTATTTCCAACACAAATACACACCAAAGTATATCAGGGCACAGAACTAACAAAGTAGCCCTTACATTTATATCCTGGTGTGTATACCACTATGTTAAATACATAATCTCAAAAACATGACACTAATACAAAATAATTAGCACTTTTCATCTAGCACTTTTAGTAAAAGAGGGAGATATAATGTATTTGAATATCGCAAACAGATACAGTGTCCTAGTTCAAAAAAGAAAATGTCTCGATGGAATAAACTATACTTTTTGTATCTCTTCAGCAAGCAAGCTAGAAAGGTTTAACATGAGATTAAAATACAATATGGGACAGTGCTACAAAATAACTTAGCTGGATTTCTGGGCAAATTAGTAAAAAAATACACCAGATAATATACAGTTTTGGGGGGAATGATGTGGGGCGAATGTTGCAAATCCTGAAGTGATTGACCTGCTAAAGTTGTTTCTATTTAATGTGTGTTCATATCTTTGACCAGCACCAATTTTTTGTTTTTATTTAGCACTGTGCATGTGCTGGATCAGATCAACAACACGGCAACTGTATCCAAACTCGTTGTCATACCTGTAACAAAAATAACAAACAATTATAGTCATACCTGTAACAAAAATAACAAACAATTATAGTCATACCTGTAACAAAAATTATTATCAAATAGTCATACTTGTAAACAAAAAAATAATTCATCATAGTCAATACTAATTATATGAAAATAATCAATACTTGGTTGGTCGGACACTGTGCTGTCCACGGGATGACATGCTAAGTCCCTAGAGGGAAGCGCAAAACACACGGCATGTCCGCAATTCAATGTCGGTAGTGTTTCTACGATAGGAAACTAACTTACTTGTATGACAGTTCATGGCCTTACATTATCATGTCAGACACCCAAGTCCAGTTTTCAAGCTGGTCAGGCTGACAATCGGAAATCTAACAGAGCCTGCCATTTTCTGTAACTTTTGGGACCCTGACTCTGATTGGCTTCTAAATTTAACGGACCAATCAGTGCTGAGGTCACAAAGGTCATTTCTTTTACTGGCAATTATTTCCAAAAAATAAATCCTGATTTCTTTTGTGCAAATATATAAAATTCCTTTTTTATCCACCTAGTATGCATTGTTTAAGATTGATTTATAATGGTAAATAGTTGATATATATATATGAACAGTATTTTGAGTTACACCAACTTCATGAGATGCTTTTTCATTATTATCTGCTTTCCCCTACATAGAGGCAAATTTATATTGTTTAAGGGGAATTTTCTAGATAAGATCTTTTAATTCAAAAAGGAAAACAGTTGCTGGGGAATGCTTCCAAATTTGGGTAGTAAAATAGCAAATATAAATTCTGCTAGGTGACCTAAAAATAGACTGGAAACCTTAAATGAGGGTCAAAATAAATCAACTTGAAATCTCTTTACCCTGCTTTATAAATATTTGATGACTACAATCTATGGCTCATCAGAAATAGAAATATGGACAACATATGTTAAGCCATTGCATAGGTGAGCTTATAGGTATCATCATTGATACATGTATTGTGTAAAGATAAAGGTACAGTATATAGAAAACATTTTTCATTTATTTTTTGTCCGCCGTAGTTAGGGCAAATTTAACATTACAGCAAACATTTGTAAATAACATAATATTCATAGTAATTAAATGCAAAAGGCGATTTTAACATTTGGCAAAAATGGATTTTCCTGTGGAAGGGCGAAAGTTTGACTGGGCGAAAATGTCCCGTTACACAGTATTATTAGAATGGATAGGATATAAAATTCTACATGTCAAACATTGATCAATTCTTCGTGAAGGTAATTTAAATTCAATACATCATATGCATGAAACATCAATGAAGATAATTTGAATGTTACATCTCCTATGAATAAATCATCTTTCAAAAGTATTTTGAATTCAATAAATAAAAATTTAATTTCCAGTCAAGGCCATTCTAATTCAATATATTCTTTAGTTAAATCTCAGTTGAGTCATAAAATGATTCCACCTACCAAGAGATTAATTTGACGAAGTTATCATTCAGGGCGATGCCAGCACCAGCATCAAAGATGCTGCTTCTTGCGTCTCCACAGAAGTCTTGAGATACCACTTTATCCTCTGTGTAACCAAGGAACCCTTTCAAGTCATTCTCTGATGCCTCCTTGATGGCAGCTTTGATGGTATCGTAGCTAGCCTAGAACACAAATTTACAACCGCATGATGTCACCAGTTACTTACAGTGGCAGGGTCTTTAGCGTTTTGGTTTGGTTTTATTTTGTTTAACGTCCTATTAATAGCTAAGGTCATTTAAGAACATTATTTGATTTTTAATACTGAATTCCATGCCATCACTTATAGTGGCAAGGTATTTGAATTTTTTTTTAATACCGACCAAATGCACAAATGTCTTGCATTCTTCATTTAAGGCCAAACTAGATGCATTTTTCACATGCCATTATTCTGAAAGGCAGACATTTGTATGTTTTTATTTCTTAACAAAATAATCACCAGGTACATTGCTATTTTGTTCTTTATTTAATTCTGTAATTCTCCATTACTTTAGTATATATCTATCTGAACAAGAGCACTGCAATGCAGTGGCATTATAAGCCCATCAATTGTAATCTTTTCATTTACAATGTTATAATTTTTGAAAATCAGGTTCATTGCACTTCTCTTCCCTTAAATGTAACCTCATACCAGTGTTGAAGGCTCTGAATTATTTTTGAAATATGGTCCGGAATGGGTTTTCCGCTAGTATTTAACAAATCTGAGAAAGTAGGTAACGGTGACCTTATTATGGAACACTGCACTTTTCCTCCCTTAGATGTTCCAACATACCAAAGTTGAAGTCCCTACATGAAATAATTCTTGAAATATGGCCAGGAAAAGGATTTCTTCTAGTATATATCAGAAAATTCAGTGAAAGTAGGTCAAACTGACATAATTATGAAACACTGCAGTTTTCCTCCCCTAGATGTTCCTGCATACCAAAGTTGAAGTTTGGCTCAGACAAGGTTTTCTAGTAATTGATCTATTTTTAGTAACAGTGACCTTGACCTTGAGGCTACAATGTCGAAACACAAACTCGTTCAGGCTATCATAGCTCTTAACCCTTGGATGAAGTTTCATAGAAACGGACAAAGCAGGGTATACCATAATACGACCCATCTTCGATGGGCGTATAAAAATTGCATTAGTAAGTGTTTTTAAAGATAAAGTTTTGTGGAAGCTTTGTTTTAATCCAATTACTTTCGTTCACTCAACTAATAAAACCATCATTTTGATGGTGAAAAGTTTGAAACTGTTTAACAAAAAACACCACAACTTCTAAAAGTTACCCGTAAAGATGACTTGACCTAAATAGAAACTAGAATTATGTCAGTGTGACATTACAGCCGCTCATCACTTTAAATTTAATTGCTTCAGTGACACGTTGAGCATAAAAATTTACTATAATAACTCAGATATGTGTTCTGTATTCTGCTAATTGAAAATCAGGTCATCTGATGATGTTGCGTTTAGGATTTTCAAAATCAATCACCTCTTAAATGATGCCTTAAAAACATTTCTCCCTCTCATCTTTTTTCACCCTCTTTAAGTGTGACGCATTGTTGTAATTTTCATTAATTAGCATCCTCCTATGATGTGACATGAGCGTTTACGTGCAGAATGGCAATCGGTGAATGGATAATAAAGAATAGGTGCATTTTTTGCTTGTGAAATGAAGGATAATTAACAGTAGTGGGAAAACATGCATGGAGAAAAGAGACATTGTACTCCTTTTATTTTTATTTATTTTTTATTCATATTAGTGAAAATTATTAATATTTGTAGCGACTATATTTACCGTCATTGAATATACAAAATCTCACAAATGTTCTTGGAATATATTTGAATTATATTTCCCAATGCGACTTTACCAACGTAAGAGTTATTTCCCTTACACCCAATTGGATACTATTTTGACACGGCGCGAATTCTTGTCAAACAGCAGCGGCAGTTGTGTCATGTTCTTAAATTGTTACACTTTCATAAATAAATACACCAGAAATAGCATGCTGTGTTACAAAAATGTTTGATAAGCATACACAGTTCACATATCGTCTCGTCTCGGAGCCATTAGTCTACCGTTATCAACCTAAGCACGATATGGCATATATACGTTACCGTTTCAAACATCAAAATAGAGTTTATACTTCATCACTCATACGGTTTATAAGTTTATATATTTACTTCTTCCTTCTACAGACAGCGTCAATGCTTGACAGTCTTCACATGTGCTTTCTCGAATCATATGTGTTTCACACGCGTAACACTCCCCAGACCGCAATCCGAGTTGCTAAAACGCTCAAACTTAGTGCACAAATTTCATCACCACAACATTCGTTGAATGCACCGGAGATAAACATTTTGTTTTCAGCAATTATTTAAAGTATGGATTATTATTTGGAGAAGAGTATCAGAAGACTTTATGTAACCCACAGGTGAGTGTCAGAGATTCTACTTTCTATTTACGATAACGAAACTATATAGCGGAAGCATGCAATACTGAATTATGCGCACGCACCCCGAACGGAAGTGGGTGCGTCATTTCGTTCTCTGGACAGAATTAATAAGCCGCTCGGCTCTCGCCAAGAGCGGCTTAAAAAAGATTCAACAAAGCATGATACGTGAAATATAGTATTATGGTCAATAAAGATAATGTATTCATAGGGACAAATTATAAACAAAATATCTGAATATCAGCAGATCAGTCCACTTACCCCTTTTTCTATTCGGCAGGTCAAGTCGACAACAGACACATCAGGGACAGGCACACGGAAAGCCATACCAGTTAATTTTCTGTACCAATACAAATCACAGTAGTATTCATAGTGGGTTAGGAATCTGTTCACTTCTACAGGTATCGGTTTTATTGAAGGTTTCCTACTGGTCCTCTGGAAGGGTGTTATACACAGGTAAGACTGTAACTGTACTTCTCATATACTAGTAAAGTCTTGAGTAAGTTTTTTTTCCTGAATCATTGAAGAATTTGTAACATGAGGCTACAATGAAATATAGCATGGTAGCCCTTAATGATCAGCATGAAATAGACAACAGAAAATGTCACGAGTCTTGCTAATCAGGATTTCTTTACAACATGTTGACCACTGAAATAGCACATAAAGAGTCAAACTGTGTTTTCTCGACCTCTTATAACTCCAAGACACTGTTTAACTGTAAGTATTTCTTCAGTCCCGGCCAAAACTCTTCTTTATTTTAGTATTAGATCAAATAAATTTTAAAGTATTAAAGCACTTTTCGTTTGTATGTAGGTTTAATGTAACATTACATAATGAAGATAATAATGAAAATTTTGATTTTATTGTATATGAATAACTTTTTTGTTTTTAATTGACTGTTTATAGACGTTGACTGGTGGATACTCGCTTAACTCAAATACTCGGAAGTTTTTCCACAATCCTGTATACTTTGAAATAACAAGGTTCAACTGTACGTATGAAATAATCATGCCAAATATTGAAAACCCTTAAACACAAGTAGTCTTGTTCTGTAACTGCCCATCAATAAGCAGTAAAGCTAATTCTATCAAATAAGAACATGTACTCGTATCTTAAGATGCTACATAATTGATATCAGAATCCTCAAAACATTTGGTTGATACAAGATCTGATTAAATGCCCAAATTTCATCCATTTTTTGGGCTTTGGAACTTGCAGAGGAAGTAATGGTGTTCAAGAACAGACACCAGTTTGAGCACAAGGTTCATGAATATAAGCCCTGATCAGCATTGTTTTCATGGCTTTCTTGTACAAACATTGAAACCTTATATTGAACTTTTATTTGCTCCCTGACCGATACATACCCATTGAGTTCTGGGATGACCTTGCCTACAGCCTTAGCAGCACCAGTGGAGGATGGAATGATATTCTGGAAAGCTCCACGGCCACTACGCCAATCCTTGGCACTTGGCCCATCCACTGTTTTCTGTGTGGCAGTAATTGCATGGACTGTGGTCATCAAACCCTCCACAATACCAAACTTATCATTGATCACCTTAGCCAGGGGAGCCAAGCAGTTGGTGGTACAGGAAGCATTGCTGTCAAAGATAAAATAGAGATTTGTAACGGACAAGTACAGCAATACAAGATCATAAACAGAACCATAAATGTTTTACAGCAATACAAAAGACTATGAACAGTACCATCATTGTTAGATATCAGACAACATATATTTGATTAAATTAAACTAATGTGTTAATTGTAATTAGTGCCCTGGACACCTATAAGGATAATAATATGCTAATTACGATAGAACAAGTTGTGCAACTTCAACTGTTGCTGCAGCATAATAGAAGGACATTATTAACATTCAAGTGTGGCTGCAGGTCTGCTATCCCCTGAAGGATGAATTACCAGCATGATGACACCAAAACATTGACAGAATCCATAAATATTTCTTCCAACAACTTTGCATCAATGGGGCCGAACAATCAGAAAAAAAATCATACCTAAATTGCTACATATTATTTCCGAAGTTACAAGCTATATCTTCTATACATTAAATATCAAGTTACTAGTGAGTCAGTATATGCTTAGCATGTCTAGCAAAATCTTTAATGTGATGTAAATGATATCTAGTCTTCTAATACTTTTATACGATAAAATTTGTCCAGGCTCTATAAGCTTATGGACACAAGAAAAACAATTGACAAATATCTGAAAATTTGTATGTATTGAACTCCACCATGTTATTCACAGGTTTACAAGCAGCTCACCTTACAATATTCATGCTATTGTCGTATTTTTTGTGGTTGACTCCCATGACAAACATGGGGGCATCAGCTGACGGAGCAGAAATGATAACCTTCTTGGCACCTCCGGTAATATGAGCCTGCAAGTAATGCATGCATGTAATTGACTTGAAAATAATGTCAATACTGGTGTAGGTAATGATATCTTTTTTTTCTATTCTTAATTACTATAAATAAAACAAGAGGACCAAAGCGCCATAAAATGCTCACATAATAGAAAGTTTACATCTATATTGAAAGCTTTAAACTTTCATATCATTAGAGACGTAATTTAACAGATTTGCATTTAGACACAAATACTATCAAATTTAAGAAATATGATGTAATCTGATATATCTTCCTTTAACCCTTTCAACACTATATCAATGCATGGTAGTCTACTTAAGTTACATAGGGGTGAAAGGGTTAACTTAAATGTAAGTATCGAGGCTGTATACTCCCTTTATAAAATATAACATGTGTTGTGATTCAACACTGGAAGGTTAAAGTTTTTATTGATAACCTTTTTCGGTAAATTTGGAACAGAGGAGCTGATATTTCCACTGAAAACCAAACTTAATAGTCTGTGAATGTACCTATTTTAGAATCAATAAGCCAAGCCCATCAAGTTAAATGCTGGTGGTATCAGACGTCACGTTTTGTACTTACATTAGCCTTCTCTAATGTTGTGAAGACCCCTGTAGATTCCACAACATATTCAGCACCAGCAGTCCCCCAGGCAATCTTAGAGGGATCACGCCTAAAACCAAACAAACGTTATTATCAAGTGAAACTTCAGTATAACGAATCCATTTTAAGGACTTCCCACCCTTCGTAATACACATGTTTTTCTTGTCGTATTTTCGTGTCGTCATTTCCATATTGTGTATCGGGCACTCCATTACCGTAGTGTAAATTATAGCAACACCAGGTAAGCAATAGTACACGTATGTAACGATGATATGTCAACACCCGATATCAATATCGAAACTTATCTTAGAAATGTGTAAACACACGTACTTCAGAAATAAAGCTTTTGATACAATGACATTAAAAACTAACTCACGGGAAGATACAGACATAAGATCAGACGTCTTCACAATCCAATTAAAATTATATCTTCACATCGCTCCTGTTTACTGATATGTCGCGTTGAAGATCTAACAACATCCCGTAGAGGGTCATGTTCAGGCGACCTTTGCATTAACCAATCAGATGAGAGCTTACGCAATTCTGTAAGTGATGATGTAATGATTTAGGAACACACTTGCTATGATAAAAGACCGATAGGTGTCAAATGAGCATCGAAAATGGCGGCGCCCACGACACCACGCCGTGTCTATCTACAAGACAACGTTTGTACAATTTGTGGATTTTGCTTTGAAATAAGCGAGACTTCCTCTTCTGGTGATGTTGTGGTTAAAAAGTTTAACAACCTGAAACTAAAATTAACCAATGACAGGCTTCGCAATATTCAAACTATCACTGGACCAGACAAAAAAGTGGATTTTGGGCTACGAGGTGTCTGCATTTAATGCTACAGGTCCTGCTTTCTGATTGGTTAAAAGAAAGAGTTATGTCGCGTTTTGATTGTCTTGTTATAAATACGATAATGCATTCATGTTGACCTCTGACGTGACCCTCTATGAGATGTTGTTAGATCTTCAACGCGACATATCAGTAAACGGGAGCGATGTGAAGATATAATTTTAATTAAATTGACGTCTTCAAGACGGTTGTATATGAGGTGCATGGAATGCAGACTGATGTGTTTTGTTTACCGACCTCACCTGTACGTATCACGTGCTAACAGTAGTTCACAAGCTCTTGGTCGCTACGACTTTTGTTGTCAAGCGAACTACGCTGTCAGATAAATTATTTCACAAATACAATTACAATAACTCTTTAAAAATAGTGGTTTGTAAAATATCAAGATCCCTATAAATTGCAAGTGCATGTGCGTGCACTTGATGACGGCATACCATGTGATACCAGCCTAAGGTTACCTATGTACCTTGCATGTAAATATACCATGCATAAGCGGGCTATGAAATGATGTCCAAAGTGTACATGATTGAGAGTAATTTTGTTCTAAAAAAACCACTAAATTGACAATTATATATAGTAATTTAATTTATTTCCGTCGTTTTTGATCTAGTCATGAAAATAAGTGTCATTGTAAAATTCTATCCCTCTGCAAAAAGTTCCGATTTTTTCAAGGTAGACAACTCTCATCAGGATCAAATTATTGTAAAATGTAGAATAAATGAATTATAAAATCATTGTTTGTGTTTGGTTCAATTTGTCACTCTTTTTGTATGAAACTATGTGTCCTGTTTGCTTTCAGCTTGTATTTAGTAACTTTTATCCATATCATTTAAAAAAAAAAAAACGCTTTTTGTAACATGTTGTAGATATTTTATGATAAATAGAATATTTGTAAGGCTGATAAGCAATGTTTCTTTTCATAATTTTATTGTTGTAATAGTTTTGAACAATGCCACACACTCAAACAAGAGGCCCATTGGGCCTGCATCGCTCACCTGGTATAAATCTCACACTTGTAACCTTAAAAGGGATCTAAATTAAAGCTACAGGCAAAATATCAGTATTTATGATTAAAATTCATTCAAAAGAACCTGAAGGGCCAGGTAAGCTAAAAATGGTGCCCTTTAGTTTTAAAAAATCCCTCAAGGAATGAAGCTGATAGAGTGCTGACAAGGATTTTCTATAGTGTTGGGAATCGCTTGTAAATTCATACTCGATCATCACTTCCAATCAAGTGACTGATGATCGACTAATGATCGATCAAATTGAACTTAAATTCAGTAATTTAAGGTTATATTTGCTTTCCGAAATCTACTTTCACTTTCATTAACAGGGAAACCTCGACGTTAAGAGAATTTCGCTAATAACACACAACATTCATAAACAAGAGGCCCAGGGGCCTTAATAGCTCACCTGGTATTTTATTTTTCAATTTAAAACCTGCTGAGTACCATTCAGGTTTATCAAAGGAGTACAAGTAACAAAGTTGCATCTTCCATTTATAAATATTCAATTCCCTTTGCCCAAAGATTCTCTAAAACAAGTTTGGTTAGGTTAAAATCCCTTCAACGGTACAGAAGGAGAAGGATCTTTAATGTTTTCCTCTATTTCCCCTAATGGGCCCCACTAATCTGCCCCAAAGAAGGGGAATCCACACACCTCAGTTTAAACAAAATTGATTCTTTTCTCCCTAAGCATGCTTCAGACTGCATTTGGTTTAAATCCCTTCACTTGTATAGTAGGAGAAAAAAAATCCTCTATTTCCCCTATTGGGCCCCGCTCCTATGCCGCCAGAAGGCCCACACCCTCCGTTTATACAAACTTGAGTCTCCTTTGTCCAAAGATGCTCTAGGACAAATTTGGTCAAAATCCTTCAATTGGTTGAGGAGAAGATTTTTAAAGATTTACCTATTTTCCCCTATTTGGCCCCGTCCCTCTGCCCCCAGGGGGAACAAAACCCTCCGTTCATACAAAACTGATAACCCTTTGGCCAATGATGCTCCAGACCAAATTTGGTCAAAATCTCTTCATCAGTACAAAAGGAGAAGGATATTTGATGTTTTCCTCTATTTCCCCTAATGGGCCCCACCCATCTGCCCTTAGAAGGAGGCACACACACCTCAGTTTATACAAAATTGATTCTTTTGTCCCTAATCATGCTTCAGACTGCATTTGTTTAAAATCCCTTCACTTGTATAGCAGGAGAAAAAAATTCCTCAATTTCCCCTATTGGGCTCCGCCCCTCCGCCCCCAGAGGGGCCACACCCTCTGTTTATACAAACTTGAGTCTTCTTTGTCCAAAGATGCTCTAGGACAAATTTGGTCAAAATCCTTCAATTGGTTGAGAAGAAGAACATTTTTAAAGATTTACCCTTTTTCCCCTTATTTAGCCCCGCCCCTCTGCCCCGAGGGGGGGCTATACCGTCCGTTTATACAAAACTGAGAACCCTTTGGCCAATGATGCTCCTGACCAAGCTTCAGACTGCATTTGGTTTAAATCCCTTCACTTGTATAGTAGGAGAGAAAAAATCCTCTAATTCCCCTATTTGGCCCTGCCCCTCTGCCCCCAAAGAGGCCACACCCTCCGTTTATACAATCTTGAGTCTCCTTTGTCCAAAGATGCTCTAGGACAAATTTGGTCAAAATCCTTCTATTGGTTGAGAAGAAGAAGATTTTTAAAGATTTACCTATTTTCCCCCTATTTGGCCCCGCCCCTCTGCCCCCAGGGAGGTTGTACCATCGGTTTATACAAAACTGAGAACCCTTTGGCCAATGATGCTCCTGACCAAATTTGGTCAAAATCCTCTGAGCCATTCAGGACAAGTAGCATTTTAAAGGCAAAGTTGACGGACGCCGGACGCTGCACCATGGGATAAGCTCACTTGGCCCTTTGGGCCAGGTGAGCTAAAAACAATAAGCTTGTTGACAGAACCTTATAATTATTGAAAAATATGTACAGTCGAACCTCGTTATCTCGAACTCTTTTAACTCGAAGACCCCGTTTATCTCGAAGTATTTCTCCGGTCCTGGCCAAATCTGTTCTTTATCTTTGTAAATAAAACTCTGATAATTCGAACCCTGAAAAGTCGAAAAACTCGGATACCTCGAAGTAAAATATTGGTTTCAATAGCGTTAATCCAATGTTGTATCCAAATTTCATTTTGTCACTTGTTAATTCTTTGATACAAATAAAACGCAAAAGTACGACATTTCGCCATTCCGTGTTTATGAACATCTTTCGTAAGTAGACTAGCATGAAATCAGTAAAAAAAAAAAATACGATAAAGCTTAGGACTGTAAAGTTTACGAACTGTCAAAACCATGTTATTCATAATAAAAAACAAACTGCATCAATGTTGATCAACAGTAATCTGTACTTACTGCGAGTCCGTTTAATGATTTGTACACCTAAACAGACGACAGTGCAAACCGGAAAATTGGTCACAAAGCGTGGTCATGCATAAAAGAGTTCCACAGTTAAAATCACAACCTAGGACAGCTTTACGGGTTCATGTTTTTACAGGAGCCAGTATGGCTTTGAAAGTCGATCGAGAGATTTAAGAACAAAACGATAATTGTTGTTTATTACATCGAGTTGAGGAGGTGTCAGGTGTCATATTGGGCTTAATGAATCAATGTGTCACATGTACGATATAATTTGTTTGTGTGTTTTCATTTACAGAATCAACTATGCGTACGCTCCATTACAGTGATTTGTTTTAGACTTGCGCACTTTCATTTCCGCATTGTAAACTACGAGATCAGAGACAGCGGGATAGTTCGGTTTGACATGTAACACTTCAGAAGTAAAACTTGACGGACTTACAAATACAAATGCAGACCTGGAAAGATTTGCCAAGATCTATACTAGCCAAAAACAACATTTAATCACTAGGCCCGTCCATATTTAATAACGAATTCACAAAATGGTCCAACCATTTTGATCGCGTTTAAAAACGAAAGTACGTTTTTCTGAAATAACTTACTCTATTTTTGTAAGCGTGTTTATTGTAAAATTACATAGCTGTATTTGTTATCTTGATTACGTATATCATTTATCGATTGATTAAAAGCATTAACCATTAATAAAACCAACAACTGCTAGTGCTACGTCCCAACAGCAAATTTCATACCAAATCTATGAACCCGCATAACTTGAATACTCGGATAACTCGAAGTTTTCCCACGACCCTGTCGACTTCGAGATAACGAGGTTCGACTGTATTTGGAAATGGAATTGATGATGTTTGCAATGTCAATAAGGCTGTGACAGCTGCATCTCGTATTCAGAAATGCTGCGATGGATTGGTATTCACCTGATGACACCCCGTCAAACTTAACGTTTTATTTGTAAGATAGCCCACACCTTCGACAAAGCATTTTATTTATATCCAGCTAAGGACAAACAATACCATCCAAACGTTTAAATCAGTAGCCGTCGATGATCATAGAGTTTAATCCCCAAAATGTCCTGGTTTGCCATATTGTCATGCACTGACTGAGCCACGCAGCATTTCTATTGAAACGCAAGTTCTAATTGGTTGTTAGTGGACCGGCTAGCCAATCAGCAGCGTCGTTGTGCGATACGTTCGGTCAAGTTGTTTTGCCCAAGAACAAACAACTCGCTGCCGGCGATAATAACAGTATCTTAGTTATTTTTTGTTTATATTTAAATTAGTCAACATATAATTGACCATGGAAAACAAGGATCGATTAATCAATTTTCAGAAACAAACAACCAGACGTCGACTAAATTGATTAATTGGAACACTATTTTTTTAAAAATAGTAACAGTGACCTTGACCAGACAACCCTGAAACTTGAACTTGTTCTAGATATAATGATCCTTTGTATTTATGTGAAGTTTGATCAAAATCCCTGAAGGAATGAAGCCGCTTGAGTGCTGACAAACATTGGTATATGAACGTACACAGACGGATGGAGAGGAAAACTTTACTCCCCCCCCCCCGGTTTCACTGGTAGGGGACTAATATTTGGAAATAGGGAGCGAAAAAAGACTAAAATAAGTCATGAAAAATCCTATTATTTTGAAAAACCCATTTTCGATCTGTACATGTATATAATTTGCATTTTACTTGGGACAAGCAGAAAATATTTTTCAGACTTGAAGTGGATTTCTGATGTCTAGTGCTTTGTTTTTTACACCCCTGTATTGGATTTCTCATCGACCTGAAAAACAACAACACTTTGTCATGACCAAGAGTCAATCATTTCTACCAAGTTTCAGTTAAATCGACCCAGTAGAACTTGATTTTAAGTTTGAAATAGTTTTTTCAAAATGGCGGCCGTGACGGCCATATTGGATTTTTAAATAACAACACTTTGTCAGGGAGCTGTCAGTAACATTCCCATGAAGTATCAATGAAATCCCTTTGACAGTATTTCAGCTTAAGTTGACAATGTAAAATGTTAACGGACGACACACGAAGATGGATAGCAATAGGTCAGCAAAAACTCAGGTGACCTAATAATAAAAACCTACTGGTTCAACCTGAAATCCATTGGCAACGGACCAGTAGAACACAAATAATTCCATCCCTGTTGATTAATAACCTGACGAAACATCAGAATGCCATTATTTAACTCTTATAAGGTGAATACAACAAAGTATCTCTGGAAGATTGTCGATCCTGACAGCAATAAATATGACATGGCCCACAACATTGCAAAATAGCCCTTTTTTTTTACAAAGAGGCCTCAGGGGCTAGTGACCCTCAAATCAAAAATCTGGAGAAAACACTGTATACAAGGTTAAGGACAAGTTGTTTGGACAAGTTTTCAAGGTGCATTTACAGAACAAAACAAAGGGCAAGAACTCTGTATTGAGTAATCATAACACTAGATGCCTTGTACTGGTTACTTACTCCATGAAGACAGAGATCTTTTTTCCATCGACGACAAGTTTTTTGTTGTCAACATCACATTCAACAGTGTAGGGGCATTGATTGTGAGTGGAATCGTACTTCAGCATGTACACCTGTCATAACAATTGATAAATATATTGAATTAAATAAGCTCCTGTCACTTTAAACCACCAGAAATAATAAAAAATACAACATCTAGATCCTGTTACATTTCCACAAATCCAATATGCCTGAAAATTGGCTTAGTGATTTTAAATAAATTTTGTAAGATTATATCATCAATGAATTTGGTTCTTGTTCATTCATGATACACTATGCATAATTGTGCATATTATTGAATAATGTATTAACACTTTTGCAACCGCACTATTAATACAAGAACTACTCACATACTCACATTATAGGTTTGTTTTTTTAGTATCAGATTTTGTTTAATCACTGTATGTATTGAAATGCTAACAAGATTTATCTTTCGATAAGCCTCTGTTTAGCCGGTTTTCAGAATAATGTGATTTAGCAATCAGTCATTCAGTGATCAATCTAGGTTTTAGACGAAATTATCCTTTTTCAGATTTGTGGAAAATTAAAATTTTGATACAAGGCTCTAGCGTCATGAAGGTAAAAGATAAATGTTTTGTCCGACATAAATGTGTAGTATATTTCAATTTTTAAACAATAGCTTAAAATTGTAGAATTTTTGTTGAAACTAAGTGGAGAAAATGTATACAAAATTGTATATGCAGTATTATGCATTTTTACTGTTGAACTTTAAAGAAAACATATATAGAGGAAATATTCTGAAGAAAAGACAGCTGTTTTCTTGTTTAAATAAGGGAAATTTGAAGCACATGGGGGGAATTTCAAAGAACATGGGAATTTTCTTCTGTAGGGGAAACTACCCTTAAACAGTAGTGAATCAAGTCTAGATTGATCCGTCATTGCCGAGATATTTAAACAAATTAAAGCGGCCTAAGTTAGCCTATCATCTGTGGACACTTGATTTTCAAATTCTTGTCATATTTCAATGAATTACGATGAGAAACACCTGACCTATGGGCCAATCGAGTGAAAAAAATCTGAAAAAGCAGAACAATATAAACCCAAGTAATAACTTAGTTCCAATGTTATGAAGTGTTTTTTGAAGGCGACTTCTGTTGTGGCTCCTACCAAAATGACAATAAATACAGAGAAAAAGTTTGTTGAAGTTAGCTAAAAGTACACTCCTTAAAAATTCAATCTACATCATTTGAAATCGTTCGGATATTTCCAAAGAGCAAGCTGGTCTTAAGGGAGATTTGTTTTTTTTAACTTTTACGAACCACTGATTACTCTAGAATAATTAAATGGACATCTGTTTATAGATCAGGAGCTCTCACCATATACTCAAGATCAATGAAGGGATCGTTGATGGCCACAACGCTGACTTTCTTGCTCAGGGCAGCACGCAGCACAAGGCGGCCAATACGGCCAAACCTGTAGGAAAAAGGTGATATTATATTAGTACAGGGCAGCACGCAGCACAAGACCGCCAAACCTGTAGGAAAAAGGTTGTATTATATTAGTACAGGGCAGCACAAGACGACCAATACGGCCAAACCTGTAGGAAAAAGGTGGTATTATATTAGTACAGGGCAGCACGCAGCACAAGGCAGCCAATACGGCCAAACCTGTAGGAAAAAGGTGGTATTATATTAGTACAGGGCAGCACGCAGCACAAGACGGCCAATCCTGTAGGAAAAAGGTTGTATTATATTAGTACAGGGCAGCACGCAGCACAAGACGGCCAATACGGCCAAACCTGTAGGAAAATGGTGGTATTATATTAGTACAGGGCAGCACAAGACGGCCAAACCTGTAGGAAAAAGGTGGTATTATATTAGTACAGGGCATCACATTAGTACAGGTTATCACTTTAAATGTCATATCACACTAAAACAAATTAAAGTGAAATTTGAATCATTCACCAAAAGAGATAAAAACACTGTGAATATTTTCTGAATATACCTAGATACATGAAGAAATGTTTTCTATTCAATTTACAGTAATTAATATAAAGTAACAGGGGGGGAGGGGGGGTTGTCATCATCTCCTAATTTTATCACAGCCTGGCAATGGGTGAAGTTTTGGGATGCAAGTGAACATACAGGTTACATGTATATACAATGTATATATATATATATATATCAGATCGCGATAAATGAAAATGGGATTGATATCAAAAACTTTTTACCCAAGTACTAATTTTATAATCAGAGGTAAAATCTAGACACTGAATTTCAATTAATTAACAGTCACACTAAAGTAAAGTCAAAGTACTACATACTAATTTCTGAAAGGTCAGTCATAGTTTTTAGATTTTGCACAATAATAACAGGATTTCTCAAATAAATCCAAAGACTTACCTTCAACCTTACAACTGATAGTACTTGAAGTCATATTTACTTCTGTGAAGACTTACATTGAGAAAAAATCCACTCTAGTCTTATGACCGTGTTTGCGTTTTCTTTCAATGCGTGATGTAATGTCATACTACCCTATTTTATCATATCAAGGATAACAGTAACACATTTTTAAATAAAATTTCAATATGTGCCTGAACATGCAGTTGTCTTTAAATCAAAGTCAACATAGGGTTTCTTTTTTCTAAACTTCGTTATTAAACCATTTAGATGTTTATTTGAACATACCCGTTGATTCCTACTTTGATGTCAGTCATATTGGTATTTGGTTGGTGTTTGGTAAATGGTACTGCTGTCACAGATCTGAAACAAAATAAACACCACACTTGATCATTTTCTTAAGGTAATAGGATGTCACCATTTCCCAGTAGAATTTCTTCAAATTTTGCAGTTATACTGCTTTGAAGTAAAGAAAAAAAATTGCCACAAAAAATATAGGTTGTCAGAATTTTAATGATTTTAAATGGAAATTTATGTAAAAAGGTGTGAATTTTGAAGAAAAAAATGAAAGACACAATTTTTGCAAAAATGATATGGACCGTTAGTATTGCATCGATATATTTCAATTAATAAATGCTGAAATTGTGTAAAATTAAAAGTCTATAAACGATTAAAAATTGACATTTTATAATAAAACCATATACACATAGTAATTGAATATAAGAGTTATCTTTCTTGAAAAACTTCACAGTAGTGAAATAGGTAGCCGGTTTCCTGAAGTACAGAAAAATGGACACCTGTGACTCTTTGATTAAAAAGACCAGAATTAATGCCTGGATTGCTTTGAAATACTTTAATATTGAGAGAACACACTGTTCTGTCAGTAATAAACAGACAATATTCACCAGTTTGCGGAAATTGTGATACTTATTCTCCCCACAGGGAATTTTCAACTAGGGATGTACTTCCTATTTCCGTTTATCAATACACTCCTATGACCTTAAGAAAGGAAACCTATAAATTATGAACCAAATATTTCTGAAAAGGTCACATCCGTGCGAGATTTAGATAAAATCATGTAAAATTGGTAATTTTATAGTACCACACAATGGTATTGGAACACTGACATTAAAATGTAAAAATAAATCAATTTAGATGGCATGCTAAAAAAGCTTAGTATGTGCTCAGTACACAATATTACATCGGTCAATGGCATGCTGCCTTAAACTGTTGGGGAAATCAGGAATGAGAAATGTGGTCTGGAGATGTATAATTGAGTTTCTAACAAATGCTTTCATTTTCAACATAAGTTGTCAGGATTGTACAATTCCACAAAATTGGTGCCCTGACCAGAAACCTATGGGTCCAAATAGATATTTCTTTAGAATATGTTCCAAATGAAATCATTCATGTTGTGTTTTGTTTAACATAAACAGTAATTGAAATCGTATTTCCATTGCCAAGCATTAGTACAGCGACCGTTGTCAAATTATCAGTGTAATTATATTTAGGCAAGTGGATTTCTAAGGTACACATGTTTACATCCCTTGATTCATTACTATAATAAGTGTGATTGATTTCCTGGTTTTGCAAAGGAATCAGAACAAAAGTGTGGAAACATTTATGGTAACTTTACTCATTTCTGCCAAAACACTAGTGGTATTTTACTAGTTTCTTCAAAAGGGTATTTTCCACACACAAAAAAAAAGTAAAAATAAAGATTTTCCTGCCCATTTCACTTTCTCTTATTTAGTAATTATCAAAAAGAATGTTAACGTTCTAGTAACATATCTATTAACAAACATTTACTGCTGAAATTGTTAATATGTAAGAACTGTTACCCGATTCATGTCAAATTCGCTGTCTTCAGGTCACACATGCAGTCTAGACTATTAGTATTATTTATGTCCAGTAATGACATTCCTACATCCGGGGATCGTTGTGAATGTGTTGATTTTGCAAATTCACCCAACTCAGGAAGAAATATTCAACATACACGTCAAATCATTGGGAGTGTTCCAATATATATATAATGAAGGTTGGCAGTTCGCTACGTGCGTTGTCCCTCATAAGACCTACAATGTCCTTGACACGCGCGCAAGGTCGTCGTGATGCTGAGCAGATACCGTAGTCGGATACAAGTGAAGCATGCACACTTACAGTAGGATACATGTATCACATTTCGATGACACTTAACAATCAATATACCATTGATAGCTTGAGCTGTCATCAGATTATAAACGTAAAACATGATATTCCTAAAAACATCAGAGAAAATGATGACACGAACGAAAAACGTGATTTTTAGCTTCTATAAATTTCGCTTTGATAACCGAATTGAAATAATAATGCAGTTATAATGGAATCAGTAATGCATATATGAACTCTTGTGATGAAAACAATCGTTGATTACTCAAGTAAAACGGTACTTTTCACACAACTAATCTTTCAATACCGCTGTCTAAAACTCACCTTGTTCGCCGGTAGCACTGGAATAAAAGGTGCAGGTGCGCGCGCAATGGTGTCGAGAAGTTCCGAATGTTTTTTATTCTATATTTTTGTTCCGAGTGAAAGTCGTACCGTAATTTTTCTAATACAAGATACAAGAAACAGTATTTAACGTCGCATAGACCCTATATCAAATCACGGACTTAGATCTAATCTAATTCCGTGATCAAACAGAGAAACATTACCGCTGTAGCGCTATTTTTGCGACAAACATGATAAAAAGCAAACAGAAAACAACAAAAACAAGCTATTATCACGGAATTAGATTAGGTTATCTAAGTCCGTGCTATTAAATACATATATAGTACATACACTATGATTATCACAGAAAACTAGCACATAATCAGCGAGTAAAACAATAACATAGTAGCATATAATTAGATATCACAGGCACTATAATAAATTGATGTAAAGAGATAAAAGTGAACGCCTGCATATCCGCAGGTGTTACTATATATTGGAGGGTTAAAACAAGTGTAATGTACATACATGCATGCTAATATGTCAAAGGGGTAAAAATTGACATAATATAAACTAATATAGTGTAAATTAAAATAGGACGACAAGGTCTAGTAAGTGAAAGATATTGAGCTATAATGATGATTAGAAGAGAGGGCTAGAAACTATGCTGCCAGTTATTGGTATGTAATAGCGCCATGCAAAGCAGAAGTAAGCTAAATAGGTAGGTAAATAAATGAATAGATACATAAAACAGGTAATTAGTAATACAGACTAAAACACTGAAAAACATTAAAACTCTAAACACAGGTACAGATACGACATGGGCAAACAGGGCCATCCCAGGAGTGCAGCAGTCTGGCAAACTCTGGATAACTATCCACCTTAATTTTAAAAACTTCACAAGCCATGGTTTTCATTCTGTTTTTACGAAGAAAAGATACATTTGCTTTTTCTAAAAGTTCTAAAACTGGAGTTGTGAAGTCATCCTCAATAAACCGAATGGCTTTTTCGTGTATCTTCTCCATCTTCCTTGTGGAATTTAAACTGCAGAAATGCTATGCCAGGTGACAATAATTAAAATTTGAAAGAATAAAATATTTAAAAATCAAAATTTTCCACTGTTTGCTTAGATTGCAGCCAACCGTTTTAAAACACATAACTGTTTGGATGCTTTCTTGCAAATGTTTGACAAATGAAAGTCAAACTTTAAGTTAAAATCAATATCTACACCCAAAAGTTTAACAACATCTTCACATTTTATAACATGGTCTTTAACAGTATAGGAAGATATAATATTGTGAGTTTTCTTCCCAATGGATATAGCCTGAAATTTGTCAGGATTGGCCTTCATACCATTATCCTCGAACCATTTGATTAAAATAATACTCTCCCCTTTAATTGAACAGGGTCAGAGTCAATATGCGACAGTGTGTTAGTTATCCTCAGCATAATTATGAAGGGTACCCTTATGAACAAAATAAAAAATGTCATTTATAAAAATATTAATAATTAAAGGTCCTAAAATAGATCAATGAGGTACCCCCCTCTCCAACTCTCCAACTCCAGTCAGCGTCTCGAGTAGCAGCCCGTGAGGAATACAGCCGATGGCATTGGAGAGATCCATGAGGATAGCACCTACAAACTTGTTCTCATCCAAGGCGCTTCGCCAATCCTCAAGGAGACGCAGCAGGGTAGACTGGCATCCATATCCCCTCCTGAAAGCAGCAAGAAAAGGATTAGATATATGATTCAAAAAGTTGGTTAATTGATCATGTAAAATTCTCTCAAATATCTTTGAAGTAGATGGTAAAATACTTGACAGGTCTGTAATTCTGTTTGTCAAGTGGATCCTTCTTTTTAAAATTGGAACAACCTGTGCCAGCTTTAAATTATGAGGAAAGGACTTGGTTTCAAGGCAATGATTAAATAAAGTGGCAAAGGTAGAGCTTAAGGAAGAAGAACCTGCCTTAAGAACCTCAGCAGGAATACCATCACCACCTACAGACTTTTTACCATCAAGCTTACAGATAATCTTTGATACACTTTCTGCATTAACTGGTTGAAAACTGTAGGACCTTTCACCCTGTACATTATCTTTGTCCTGATGTTCACGACGCGACGTACAAAACGATAGTACAAATTAAATGATTGTGACATTTGGCATGGAGACATAGAAGACGAATTTAATTATCTAAATTTAAACTTTGTAATTCAGATATGTCATTTGGATATATTGCTACTTTAATTGACATGATGTCTGGTGCGTCGATTTACCTAATAATACAACCCAATACAAGTGTCGATTTACCCAATTCAACCCAATACAAGTGTCGATTTACCCAATACAAGTGTAGATTTACCCAATACAAGTGTCGATTTACCCAATACAAGTGTCGATTTGCCCAATACAAGTGTCGATTTACCCAATACAAGTGTCGATTTACCCAATACAAGTGTCAATTTATCCAATACAAGTGTCGATTTACCCTATACAAGTGTCGATTTACCCAATACAAGTGTCGATTTACCCAATACAAGTGTCAATTTACCCAATACAAGTGTCAATTTACCCAATACAAGTGTCGATTTACCCAATACAACCAAATACAAGTGTCGATTTACCCAATACAACCAAATACAAGTGTCAATTTACCCAATACAACCCAATACAAGTGTCTATTTACCCAATATAACCAAATACAAGTGTCAATTTACCCAATACAAGTGTCGATTTACCAAATGCAAGTGTCAATTTACCAAATACAAGTGTCAATTTACCCAATATAAGTGTCGATTTACCCAATACAACCAAATACAAGTGTCAATTTACCCAATACAAGTGTCGATTTACCCAATACAACCCAATACAAGTGTCAATTTACCCAATACAACCAAATACAAGTGTCAATTTACCCAATACAAGTGTCGATTTACCCAATACAACCAAATACAAGTGTCGATTTACCTAATACAAGTGTCTATTTACCCAATACAACCAAATACAAGTGTCAATTTACCCAATACAAGTGTCTATTTACCCAATACCATCCAATATAAAGTTAAATTCCCCCAATACAAGTGTCGATTTACCCAATACTTTCCAATATAAAGTTAAATTTACCCAATACAAGTAAAGATGTATTTCATTTCAAATATTTCATTGTTAATACAAACAACAAAGCTAAATACAATGATTACAGATGAAATATATCAGTACATATATCACCAAAGGGATAAGACAACAGGCTTAGCCTATATAAGTCTTCTCCTATAGATACCGGTATCCAGTAATTTTACTTTCATATATATATTAAATTGGTAGATAGGACAATAACGGAAGAACGCATACTCACTCACTCTTATACCACCATTCGTAATTGGTATATTTTATATCGTTAGAACTTGCATGTAAAAGGATATTACTTATAAATTGAGAATCCTTTAGTGTTTTTTAAATATGAACTAGAGTATGATTAAGTACATTTTTCTTAGTTTCGTTAGACTTACCAACGACACCATGTAATTAAACATGAAGATTAACAAATCCTAATAGATTATTATACACACAGAGGAGATGTGATGCCTATGATACTGACACTCGAAGAAAAGGTGTATTGTATTTTCTATATTTGCACCACATTAACAGTAACTCAAGCAATGTTACATTCACGAATGTAAATATTTGTATTCGAGTTTCGTTGTTCTTGTTTTTCAGTAACCATTTTGATAAGATTTTAACCTTTTATTATTTCCGGGTAATTGAGTGTTCCATGTATATAAAGTGTATGCTTATTTTTGTCTTAATGAGTTGACTATCAATTTAAAAACGAGGGTTATTTATTATCAAGATGATTATTTGAAGCTCAACATTGGCTAATATCTAACAGTGTACAATCCGAACAAGTTTATGTGATTATCAGTAATTTCTTTTGTAAAGCCGATGGAAATCATAAAGTTACACTTCTGTATATACCTGTTTCATTTCGAAAACAGTGTAGTGAGTCTATCCACGTGTGATGGGACCGACTAATTAAGCGGCGCGTGACTTGCAAGTTTTATTTTTACACTCACGCCATACGTATACGTGCGTAACAACAGGTCACATATTACATAGTATACATTGATGGACATAGTACACACATAATTCGGCACATGATACAATTTATACAATAACAGCCCATTTCAATAATTCTTTTAGCCATCTTATTTTAGATATTAAATAGCTTCATTACTCTTTGCATAAATTAACTTACTTTTGTTAAAAGTACCGTGTTACATATTGAGAACATTCCTTTCATTTTGATATAAGTTGGGTGGGCATAATAATAATTTGGTATATAAAGTTGTCTAAGAGCTACAACGGTACATTAGTTCATCGGTATAAGTAGTGGTATTCGTCCCCAACACAGTTATTACATAGGGGACATAACCTTTCCTCGCGTGGGACTCTATTCCA